AGACTAGCCCTCGCAAGAGAGACTGTCCTCACAGAGACCCACAGAAAGAATAAGAGCGAGAAGTGGCGAGAAGGAAAGAGATAGAGAGAGAGAGATCGCCAATGCATATTGGGCTCGGCTTTTAAACGCTACGCCAACCAGCGATTGGTGGCGCAAACCCAGCGTCAGCAGCCAACGTCATCATTACGAAATGCAGATCCTCCAATGCCGTTCGTACCTGTAACACGCGCATGAAATGACACACCCACTTACAAACAAACGCACACACACATCCTAAACGCGTTCTGCAAGCGAACGTAACGTGTTATACTACATATTTATGCTAATGTAATGACGACTTTTGGATTACATTTAGATTACTTTTGTGCAAACCCTTATTTTACTTTAAATTAAATGTGTTTCAAGAGTTCACAAGAGTGTTTGGGGTGCTGTCCCGGGAGAGAGCCTTGAGCTCAAGGGATCCTCGGGCCCAGGGCTCCACCCTTTCACAGGGCGAGGGGAAATTGAGCTCAGGTCGATCTCAAACTCCCCCGCTGCTGAGGGCAAAGTGAACTTCCTGAGAGTAAGACATTAGAAAGAAGATTTAGGCTTATTTTATCTTTAATGTAGAGCAGATTTGGATGGTGGGAGGAAACCGGGGAACCCGGGGGAAACCCACACGGACATGGGGAGAACATGCAAACTCCACACAGAAATACCAGATGGCCCAGCGAGGACCCAACGCCACTGGTGTTCTTGCTGTAAGGCAACAGTGCTAGTCACTGGGCCACCGTGCCGCCCATTCTGGATAAAGGTGGAGGAAGGAGGGGAGGGGGGTTTCTTCCAGACGAAGATAGATGTAGAGGATCATGATTAGCTAATGTGGATCTGCTGGGTCATTCATGAGCACATGCTCCTTTCGAAGTTAGTTTAACATTAAACTTCACTTTAAAACAGCAACATTACAATAAAAACTATATAAAATTTCCCAGCAGTATGACTGCAACATCAATTGTTTCTAAAAAAAAACTCATTATGATTGGGTGAGTGGGGTTGACAAACCACTTGCACCAGTTTGGCAAATTTGCATGGGATACTTTCTTACAATCGCTCGCATATCTTTAATAACTCATTTCTAATAACTGATTTATTTTATCTTCGCCATGATGACAGCACATATTATCCTCCACATATGTGGACAGCACATTTTTAGCTCTTAATTCAATTTTAATTTCAATTCAATTCAGCTTTATTTGTATAGCTGTTTTTGTATATTATTGTGTCAAAGCAGCTTCACATAAATGGTCATAGTAACTGGATCAGGGTAGTTCAGTTTTTAGTGTTTAAGTTCAGTTCAGTTCAGTTCAGTTTAGCTCAGTTCAGTGTGCTTTAATCATTACTGAGAGTCCAAACACTGAAGAGCAAATTCATCGATGCGTAGCTCTACCAATCCTGAACCATGCAAGCCAGTGGCGACAGCGGAGAGGGAAAAAAACTTTACCAATAGGAGAGAAGAAAAAAAACCTTGAGAGAACCAGACTCAGTTCGGCACGACCATTTTAATTTCTCCGCTGGCCAAAAGTCTTGTGCAGAGCTGCAGTCTCAGTGGTGGAGGCTGGAAGCTGGCCTCAGCGAAGACTCGTCTGTTCCTGGAGCATCACTGGAATCAGTCTCATGTACTCCACTCCTCCATGACCACCAGCGCAGCAGCAGCAGCTCAGGATACGGCCTGGTCCCGGATATGGAGACCTTGGGATCATCTCGTCGCTGGTTTTGAATGCACTGGGGTAAAATAAATGCTCTCATTATAAAGACATGGCGGGGGAAAATGTAATTTAATGCAGTGCTTTTTGTACAATCTTAGACCCATTTTATATTGAATATCACTCAGCCAGTGGAGGTCGATGATTTTAAAGAAAACAGACCTTAAACGCGCCAATTTTTGCATTGGCATACTGTTGACTGGAAGCTCTTAACCCAGCTTACTGGCAAATTCAAAGTCCTATTAGCGTGCTAGAGCATATACCCTATTAAGCAAGTCGTGTATGACAGTGGTTTGTTCTGTCGACAATCCAAAACAAATATAGCTTAAGGGGGCTAATAATAATACTGACCTTAAAATGCTTTTAAAAAATTAAGAACTACTTTTATTCTAGCCGAAATAAAACAAATAAGACTTTCTCCAGAAGAAAAAATATTATAAGAAATACTGTGAAAAATTCCTCAATCTGTTAAACATCACTTGTATTTAAGAAAGAAAAGAAGATTCACTGGAGGACGATTATAGGCTAGTGCTACTAAAACATGCACCGTTCTGTAGCATATGAATGATGGTAGCATGTTTTCTCCATATGAGTGCATGTTAAACACTTGGTGTGCTGCAGCTGGAGTTCCTCCAGTGCAGGCGAGTGTTCATCACACCTGAGCGAACAGACGCTCGCATTTCCAGACCCACACTCAGGTGTGATGGATGTGAAATATGCAGCCGGGCGCATCGCTGTGATTGGATGAGAGTCCCGCTGGTTTGCCTTAACGATTTACAGTGACGCTCAAAGGAGCCCGTTAAATCATTCTGCCGTCTCGGCTGACAGAGAGAGAGACTGAGAGAGAGAGAGAGAGATGGATATAAAATAAATACATGCATGTATTTTATTCTTTTATAATATGGATAGGCATTTCTTTAAGTCTTTTTTTTCTGCTATGTATGCTTTGGCAATATATACTCCTGTATGTCATGCCAATAAAATTAATTAAATTGGATTAAATTGAATTGAGAGACAGAGATAGAGAGATAACATAAATATATGGATGTATTTTATTGTTTGTATGTACGACACATATAGTACGTTTACTAAATGTGTTTTTATAACTCTTTCATTCATTTTCCTTCAGCTTAGTCCCTTATTGATCAGGACTTGCCACAGTGGAATGAACCACCAACTATTTCAAAATGTTTTATGCCGCAACCCAGTACTGGGAAATGTATTTTTGTCTATTTTATATATATATATATACACACACACACACACACACACACACACACACACACACACACACACACACACACACACACACACATATATACATATATATATGTATGTATGTATATATATATAT